AGGAAGGGAGCCCAACGGTCACTGTGTGCAGTAATTCTGAAGTCTGGCTGGGGAAACGGCTGGGAAACGATTAAAGTCCAGCGCCCCTTCCTAGGAGCTGCTTTTCTGAGGCTACTGGTTCTGCTTCTGGGCCTTTTTAGTTCTAATTTCTGAGTCATCTTTCCTTTTCATAAAAAAGCGGTGTGTGTTGCTGCTGGGTCATTTTCTCACTTGCTTCCTATGCATAGGCCTGCAGGGGTCCATGGACTCTTTTTATCATGTACTTTCTCTGTCTCTTTTAGTCAAAGATGGTCCAATTTGTTTCCAACCTTGGTAAGTTTCCCATATATCGTCCACTTCATTAGCTAAAACCTGTATCCATATATGCTAGTATCTGAGTCTAAGCTCTTCTCTCTCTCTCTCTCTCTCTCTCTCTCTCTCTCTCTCTCTCTCTCTCTCTCTCTCTCTGCCTCACTCTCTATCTCTCTCTCAGGTTCTCACTATGTAGCTCAAACTCTCCTTCAACACACAGTAATCCTCCAGCCTCAGCTTCCCAAGTGCTAAAATTACGGCATGTGCCACTATGACCCAGCCAAGTCCTTCTCTATTTTGAAGTTTTTTGAGGCTACAGCACCTAGGAAGCGCTGTACCACCTTAAATCTTCCTGAAGTCTTAAAAAAAAAGGGGAAGTGGGGATTCCAACCACACATCCTTGGCTTCTTCACCCTGAGGCTTTGTTTCACTGCCAGAGACCCATATTTGATCTCTGTATTGAGGCCCTGTTTTATTTTTTTGCCGAGAGATTGGAGATAACGTACAGTTTTACTTTTGAACTTTACAGATCCTGGTCCTAATTGATATGTATTTTAAATTCTGAATGCAAACTAAGTGACTCCTTTGGGGGCTCATCTGTAGCTGCAGCTTACAATGCACAGCTCAGGGCCACAGTTGACTGCTGGCGTGCTTCCCGCACGTCTCCCTGTCTGGGAACATTCTCTGCTCCCATCTCTGTTCCCATGCCCTAGCAGAGCAGGCCATCAGCTTTGCTAAACTTGCCAGCACTATATGACAAGGGTCAGGCCCTTCGTCTTCTCTAATGCTCCCCTCACGGTCCTGTAGGACTCACCCACGGGCCCAACCAACCCAGCAGGCTTCCTGTCCCCTTCCAGCCCCAAAGTTAATGCCACGTGCGTTAGGTTTTATCATGTCACTGCCTCCCTTTCAGATATCGCATTCCGTCCTAGGTGTCTGTTGCTGTGTAGCCCCACGCCAGACTTCATGGCATTGCCAATGACCATTTTATTATGCCCAGAGGTTCTGTGGGCGTAGGTCAGGAATTTGTATGTGATTGAATAGATAGGGGTGCTTAGACTGGTTGGAGGTTGGACTGTGCAGAAGCCTTTTTGGTCATCTGCTGGCTGCTAGTGGATGACTGATCGGCTGGGATGGTGGACAAAAGCACTCAGACAGGGTCTTTCATGTTCCCAATTCTGTCCTTCTTTTATGAATTAGTTTTTTTGTTGCTTCATTGTTTTGAATTTCATCATTGATATTGTTTTCATTTTGGTTTTTTGTTTGCTTGTTGTTTTAGTAGTAGAAACCCTTTTTCAAGTGATAATAAAGAAATTCAATAATAAATGTAAAATAGAGAAAAACATTAACTATCTGGAGTCCCAGAGGCAACAGCAGCACATGGTTCAAATGTCTTGAAGGGTGTAGAGTGAATACTAAATCCCTTCAGCCACCAAGAACTCTGTTCCAGAGGCAATCTTGGTTACTCCTTTCTTGTGAATCATTCCACACATAGCTTATGCACTGACAAATCTATGTATATTCACACATGAAAATCTATGCCTTTATTCCCACAAGATGGTAGTACACTATATGCACCATGCTATCGTTTGTTTTGTTTAAGAAAAATATTGTGAAGATCATTTTATCTCCATACAGGTGGAGCTGTTTCTTGCTTTTTTTAAGGCTCTACTGCAACAGCAACTATTTATCAAGAAATAACATCATCATCTACTTATCAGGAAGTAAAACAGGGCTCCCTATTTATCAACATTAGGGTTATTTTCTGTTGGTTATTGTTTGCTTGTATCAAACGGACCCATGTGTTTGAAAACATATTCAAGTATTTCAGGAGCCTGTCTATCTACTCCATGGAAAGTTCCCTAATCAGTGAAAGAAACCATGCTTTTCAAATTTTAATGAATATTTCCAAACTGCCTTCTTCTGGGGTTATATATGGCAAAATTTGTTTTCTCCGCTCTCATCAACAATATATTAGCAAACCTTCTGAAATGTTACCAGGTCTAATAGGCAAAAACTGGCCTTGACTGTCATTTTAATGTGTCTTCCTGTTGTGAGTGAGGGTTCTCAGCCTCTTGTATTGCATTTTCTTTTATAAACTGCTTTGGAAGATGAAAAGCTGCCCAGTGGTCAAGCACTATGCAAAAACTGTAGAAATCACTACTTTCTGACATGGGGGTTTTATCCCATTTAGTTGCTTTCATCCTAATTTTTATAGAGTATACTTCAGGGTGCTACGTAAGAAATCAGTTTCCCAGATTAGTGGCTGTTCATTAAAAAATGCTTTTAAAAAAGCTGACATTTTGTTTACAGATATAACTATTTCAACCCTATTTCTGTAATCTCCACTACACCAAAAGCTATTATATTGGAGCCAAAGTTGTCTTTTCAAGTAAACTACTTTTTAAATTCAATTCAGCAATTTGAAACAATTAGAAATTTGAACACCAACAGGATATTGCATTTTTAGCTGTGATAACAATACTTTGTGTTTGAGAAAAAAGGACTTTATCCTTTAGAGATTCTTACTGAAAGTTGAATAACATGATATTTAGAATCTGTTTCAAAATAATTCTTAAAAGAGTAAGCAGATAGATATGTAGATGAGGGAAATTACTGTATTAAGTACCTTATGTGATGAAAAAATAGATGTTTCTGGGTTGTGTCTCTGCCAAAGATAGCGCCCCCTTATGGTACATGCTCAATACACATGGCCCTGGGCTGAGGATTTAGCTCAGTGGCATAAGCGCCTGCCTGGCAAGCATCAGGTCATGAGTTCAGTTCCCAGTACAAAAAAAAAAAAGGAAAACCCACCATACTTGAACTGGGTGTGGTGGTGCACCCCTGTATTCCCAGTACTCAGGAGTCTGAAGCAGGAGGCTTGTTGGGAGTTCAAGACCAGCCTGGGCTACAAAGTGAGCTCAAGGCCATCCTGAACTGCACTGTGAGACCTGTCTCAAAAACAAATCAAAACAACCACACAATCCGAAATCCAGCCTGTGATCCTCCCCAAGGGCTGCACTGTCTGTGTTCTACTAATGGTGCATCTTGAGAGAACAGACCGTGTGCTGCAAGGTTGAAGGAAGGTGTCATTCCATTTATTTGGGAATCAGGAAAGATCTTCCTTGGAATTCAGGGGACTTGAGATTGCGTTGCCTGAGACAAACAGCGTCCAAGACAGTTTCTCAGTAAAACGGTCCCTTTGACTTACTGTGAACTGTCTCTTTTAGAAGCCTGTTCAGGGGTCAATGGTAGGCAGCAGAGTAACTCTAAAGATTGTGAGGAGCCACAAAACCTTCCACCAGGCCTCATCTGCTCTCCCCCGCCTGTCTTGTTTAGACCTTAGAGTAATTGGAAACCCCCAAACCGTGCTTACTGGACACCCTCTCATGAAGAAGGATGATGTGTCGTAGGGAGAAGAAATTCAGCAATGGGAGGTTATTAAAGGAAATGCAGGAATGCAGGATGGTATATGGGCCCTGTGGGTGTGTTTGAGTGATTAGTTAGCTCAGAGCAAATAAAATAATGATTTTAATGTTTGCATGCAGGTGTTAGCACAGTTGCTCCAAATGAAAAGGGGAAAAAAATGGATTTTTAAAAACCCTACTCACATCTTGACTAGAAAGCTCTTTTGAGAAAGCATCAATGTTACATTACAAACACCATTCAAATCTACCAAATGGGCCAGATGGTTGCCCGAATAGTGCGAGTTTGCCAGCTGCCCATTGCTACAGATGAAGTCTTTTCTGCTGACGTTTGTGTAACCACGAGCACTTTATAGAGTGTTGATTCTTTTGATGCTGTTTAACATTTGTGTGTCACCATAATTACAAACCATAAATATACATGACACTGTGTGATAAAATTGCCCAGCTTTCCTCCTGAAAAGCGGAGGATCCTTTATTACCTGAGAAAAGAGGATGGCTAATGTTCCTCTTCCATCCTTTGAAAATGTCAGCTTCTCTAGTCAGATGCACAAGGTTGCTTTGCACTCACCAAACCTTATCCCTCTCCAACAACACACACTCCTGGGGCTAATAGATACCACCAAGCTCCAGAGTTGGAGCATGCCTGAACCAAAAGCCCGGGGAATGCAATTCAGGAGAGTCCAAGTGGTTCTAAATTAAGCCAAGCTATTTTATTTGACAACATACCGAAAGTTCTTTGGAGGTCACGTAGCAGGCAGGTGCGCGGTGTAAAAGGAACTAGGTAAATGGAAGTGAATCAGCTTCTTTCAAAACAACATTTTTCTGGAGCTGCATTGCTTTTTGCTTTCAAAGAGGCTGATTCAGTGCCATTCACCTATTAAGAAGCCAGCACATTTATTTGTATCTGCATCTATAAAAACCAAGTGCCAGTGCCATCTTTCTACAAAAGCTGATCATGTGTTTGTGGGGACTGGGAGAGGTGGCGGGGGTAGAGGGGAGGGTTGGAAGCCCACGCAGTTCAGCCATGAATTCAGGAATGAGCCGGCTGAGGTAGAAACTGCCACCCGGGCAGGGGGCACGTTCCGTCTTACCCAGGAAGACTGCTTTAAAATTTGACCTCTTTATTTTGGACCAGAGGTCCCATAGAGTGCTTTTCATGGCTCTATAAATACAAGGCTCAGATGCTTCCTGACACCCAACATTTCTGCTTTTTAACATGTAAATAAACCAGTCCGCAAAGTGAGTAAATATCTGTTGTGAGTTTACAATCTTGTCTTTCAGAAATATCGACAGTATATGGCAGGACTTCTGGCTCCTCCTTATGGTGTTATGGAAACGGGCTCTAACAATGACAGTAAGTGACAACTGTGAACATTTTGTATTTGAAAATTTGTCTTGTGGTGTGTGTTTTTTGTGTGATAGAAAAAAATACGCCCTACACCAGCTTGACAGAGAAATTCTCCAGAATCCTAAGAGCAGAAACAGACCTGCCAGCTCACACTTGAGATATTTTAAGGAATGGTTAATATGGTATTGTTCTGTGGTCTTAGCTAATGGAGGGAGGTGTCAACTGGTGCCAGCTGGAGCTTCAGCATACTTGAAGTACTTTCTCCATGTATCCTCATCCTATTGTGAAATGCATTTGTTTCTGTGCCCTGGAAAACAGTGGGATTCATGAACTGGGCCCGTCCCAGTGACACCGCGGCAGCAGCCTCTTGCTGCTGTTGCCTCTGTCAATCAAGGCCAGGTGCAGCGTGCGTCATCCTGCGTCCTTTCTCAGTCATGGCCTCTTCAAGGCCAAGGTCTCTATGACATTAGTCCTCTTAGCACACGAGCGTGACCATGGCTGCACACGTTCAATAGAGGACAGTAGGAGAGACCAGTCTCTGGTGGATGGTAGAGGGAGGATGCTTTTCTGTGTGCTGCTCATTTCTAGTCAGTGTCCATGCACCCCAAGAAGCCTATGTGCCCTCCGTCCATGTGGCGGGACCCTCAGTGTCACTTCCAGCCATTGCTATTGCTGAGAGTTGCTCTGTGCACCTCTGAGTGTCCTTAGGAAGCGTGTGTGTGTGTGTGTGTGTAACAAAATACCACATACTAGAGTGTTTGAAGTTGTGGCTCCTAAGCATCTTCCTTCACACCCTCTCCAGGCTCCTTGAAGTCCCACCCTCACTCCCAGCCGTGTTGCTCTCTGCAGGGACCCCTCTTCTTACCTGATCTTGACTGGCTCACCTTTCCCCCCTGCCCTGTGCCTCACTCCCTCTCTGCAGGGCCTGCCCTCCTGCCTTTGCTGCTGTTCCCCTTTCCTATGAGTGGAATAACTCTCTGACTATTTTTCCCTGGTTCCCAGGGCTCCACTGCAAATCCTGATTTCCTCCATCTCTTTGCCTGGAGCTGCCTGGAGTTTTGTCTTTCACAGTTTCTTCTTCTTCCTCCTTAGAAGTTTAGATAATACCCAAGAGGCTGATCTTGGCAGCTTTTTTCTTTTCCTTTCTACTTTCCCTCAACAGCGCATGCTGTCTGTGACTGACACACACCCTTGCTGAGCCGGCACCTCCATTGGATCCCACCGACCACACACGAGGGGCAGCCTGGCTTCCAGTGCCTGCTGACCCACTGTGCCTGCATGTCCTGCTGGCCCCCCTGCCCCAGAATGTTGAGAAGGGAGCACGTGTGGATTTCCACAAAACCTGTCCCTCCTCCCAGAAGTCCCATCTCCGGCACCTTCTCTGTCCTCCAGTCCAGGCTTTAAACCTTAATCATCTCCTCTCTCTGCACTCACTGAGCCCACTGCAGGGCTCCTGGGCTTTCATTTCTGATTCCTCCTCAGCCTCATCCTTCTTGATGTGCGAGCAGAAATAACTCAACTAGCTGTGAACTTTCACGGTCACCTTTGGTCTCCCTTGTACTTGTGTTCCAGAAAACTTTTCCTTTTTAATTTTTTAAAAATAATTTCAATTTCAAATATTCCTAATTTGGAAAGGATTATTATAGTCAACACCCTTATTTTCATCATTTTGATTTAAATGATATGATTGTTTTTGTACTTAGCATTGGTTTACTATTAATAAAGTAATACGTAGTTTGTTAATATTTTGCCACAGGTCCTTCTTTTATTCATCTATACACATTCATTCTACTCCAAATTCTTGAGAAGATATTTCTGAAAATAAAAGGTTTTTCAAGTACATCCAAAATACCATTAGCAAACCTAATGATTGGCGTGATTTTCCTTAACACCCATAAGTCTATGTTCACCTTTCTGTCCTGTCAGACATACTATATTCATTTTGTATTTGCTGGAAGTGTTAAAGGTTTCTTTATTGTTTCTATTAAGAAGCCATGGGCTTTTAAAACTCAGATTTCATTACAAATGCTTGAATGTTGGTTAACTCAAGTGTTTTTGTTTTTGTTTTGTACTGGGACTCAAACTCAGGACCTTGTTAACCATTTGCTGGAACCATTACTGTGCTGGTAACTTTTCTCTCATTGCTGAGACAAAATGCCAGACACCCAAAGTTCAGGAAGGAAAGGTTTATTTAGCTCACAGTTTGTGGAGGTTTCAGTCCATAATTTTCTGGGTTCAAGGCAAGATGGCACATGGCAGAGAGCAACAGTTCATGGAGGCAGAAAACAACAAAAGCAACAAGAGCAAAAAAAGAGGAGCAGAGAGAGCAAGCCCCTTTCCCTCCTTATATCACATGCAGGCTACCCACCCGGACTGAGTGTAGTACTCACACCCTGTAATCCCAGCATTAGACCACAAATAAATCACAAATTCTAGAAGCCTGACCCCATGACTGTATGAGGCACAAATGATAGACACAAATGATAACAATTACTAATCAAGCAAATAAATTCAGCCATTTTGGTGGAGGAAATCTGTGCCTTGTCTCTCCTTACCATAAGAGCACGGGTACCCACCACACTGGGCTCATTAATCTCTGCTGAAACCGTGACCTTCCAGTGGGGCCAGACTTACCATGGGGTCAAGGTCGCGGGCCCAGGGGAAGTGATGAGGAATGGAGCCTGACTAGCAGATGTTGGTGCACTGTTGGTAAATGAGTGAACAAAGGAGTCAATGGAAGGAGAGCAAAGTCTTCAGCTAAGAAAACCGAGGATGCCCTGGAACAGTTACCTCCACTCGCCCTGAGTTGGAGGCAGTGGGAAGTGCTTTATTCAAAATGGGCGTTGTGTTCTGATAAGTTTTAGGTCCTGGATGCCCCTAGGTTGGAATCTCTGGAGCAGTGTGAGCCAGTTTGTAATGGAAGGAAGCAGTATGTGCAACAAAAGCACTGGCGTATCTGTCCCCAATTCTGAGTGCTTCGGCGCTCAAGTCAGTGGAACTAGTTGCTCACATGTTGGAAATGAATCGATGATGGATTTTTATCTCTGGAAAGTAAAGCACATGGTAGAAAAGCAAAAGAAGCGTGGGTTTTGGTGCCTGGGCACTTAGCCCTGCTTCTTATTCATTGATTTATTTATGTCACAGATTTTGATCAGGGCTGCTGTTTTTCTCAGCAGCATTATATAAGTTTGTATGGAAACAGAAATGGGAAAGACTAAAATGTTATTTGACCTTGTTCAGTTCTATTGTACAAGCCCATCAGACGATTGATTCATGGCCTTTCTGTCTCTTTTTTCTTCTCTAGGGATTCCTGACAAGGAGAATGTGAGTAGCCACTCTCTCTGCCTAGCTTGTAAAAACTGTCATAAGGTAAAAAATAATAATAATAATAATCAAAGAGAGAAAGAAGAGAAAGCTCTCAGTCTGCAGTCAACAGAGCAATAAATATTTTTCTAATCTTATTCTGGCATCTTTGGTGAGTCACTTTAAAATACCACGGGGAGAGGGGTGATTGCTCTGACACGGTCATCACATGTCCCTGATATTTAGTCCAAAGGAAGGTTATTCTGGGAGCAAATGGTACAATTGCTAAGTGTTTTCTTTTTCCCATGAGGCACTTGTGTTGGTAGAACAAATCATTAGTTTAACAGCATGTAAAAACATAGTTGCTTTTTTCTCAGAAGGAATAAATGCCATGAAACTCAGGGTTAGTTGATGAATTTGCCTAATTATATCTGAGTGCACGAAAGTCAGCATTTCTCTTTGGAAACTGAAAATAATTAATTGTTGTAATTGCGTTGGAGGAAATGGGTGAGGGAAGAGGTGCAGGGCAGAGCTTCCACCAACACACAGTGCTAGGGCACATTCCGAGGATGAGAGTCGTTGGGTAGCGTATCTCTGCATGCAAACAGTGATAATGTTAATCCTGTTAACTAGTCTGTAGATTGAGACAGCAACATGCAAAGATTTATGGTGGAAGAGAGTAGGGATTCATCTGTCGTGGTATTTGGTTGACACTCAGACACGTATCCTCATAACTGTGCTCCTTGAGTGCTGTACCCACATGGTAACGTGGCCCAACTGTACCCCATTTCTTTCTCTGCTTGCACTCCTGGGTTCTGTGGGCAGATAAACCCCTGTGGTTCAGTTCACATTATTTATGTGTCTCCTTTCAGAGTTCCCACTCTAGCTGTCTTTAGGTTCATCCTGTTTTCCTAATGCTGGTTTTGTAGAGCTGGCTGGAAGTTGTGGCATAACGTTTTGCTACTGCCAGTGTGGGTTGCAGACCCACAAAGTCACATCGGAATTTTACTTTGGTTCAGCAAAGAAGTTCGATCCCAGCAGTCAGTCCTTGAGCACCTTTTTGACTTTTCTAAACATCCTTGTCTCATCTTTAAAATGCGGGTGTTTGTCATGACTGCCTCACAAGGCCATTGTGAGTATTAAATAGATCGTTTGTGGGCTGGGGATTCAGCTCAGCAGCATAAGTGCCTGCCTGGCAAGCGTGAGGTCATGAGTTAGACCCCTACTACCAAAAAAAAAAAAAAAAAATTAAAAAAATAAGATCATTTGTGGCGACCATACAGCAAGAACACTAGAGCTCAGTAAGTGTTAGGTACAGTAAGTACAAGTGTCTTCTCAAGCTTTGCGTCATGTCTTGTGTTCTTTTCTCCTCTGAAAAGAGTCCTACTCTTTATCAAGTAATCATCTTTTTGCCTTTTAGGGCTCTCCTATACTGTCTTCAATGAAACCTACCATTAATCTTTGGCTGTTAAGAAAATGTCTTTGTGTGACAAGTACATCTCTGAGGATTAGATTGAATATTTACAAACACAGGTTTCAGGGCAAAGATGGTGAACCTTTAGAGCTTTCCAAGGATACAGATAGCCCCACTAGAGCACATGTGTCATAGGTTCATCACCGCTGCTTCAGAGCTAACGTGGCACAACAAATGTTATCACCATCATGCACATGAAAACCCCAAAGCATCCATGCTGTAACAAATAGCACATGTATCATTAGCCACGTCAAACAATAAAAGGGCCTCGCACTTCCTCATCCAGGGGCAGCTGTGATGTGGAGAACACACACAGAATGTCTGAGCCCTGGGAGGCTAAAATGTTGGAGGCTTCAAAAAGCAGCTCCATCTCTCTTAGGCACTCAGCAACCTTTAGGTTGAGCCCCCTGCAGAGGGACAACAGGCATAAGTCTCTAAGCAGAGGGCCTGACAGCTGTCATCGTGGGCCAACCTCGTGACAGAATAAGGATGAGAAGTTTGTGGAGCATCACATGCAATGAGCTGTTTACATGTTGCTCTAAGAGACTTTGAGGGTGGCTGGGACATCCCCTCAGGATAAGTAGTAGCATTCGGCTATTTATATTCATTCTGGCTATTCCAGGTCTAGTAAACCAAAAAGCACACTTACTTTCTTTTAGCAAATAGTGTAGAGGAGTGACACTGCATGCTATTGCCACAGCTCTCCAATGCCATCTGTCAAATAAAGTAATGAGATGAAAGATGTTCGGAAAAACAGTTCAAGTTTTAGAGAGACAGAAAAGAATTCCTAAGAGCCTCAAAGTGGTGTTAATTGAAATTTTTCCTTTTTAGAAAACAAGTTGTGTTATGATGATTTCTTTTATCCTTTACCTTCTTTAGCTACATGCTGAGCAATATTGTGTTGCTCTTGTGTTTGAAATGCTATGATTCCTGTGGACTAGAATAAAAGTACTAAGCCCATTGTTTTGGCGTCCAAACAGAATGTAGAAAGGATATAGTCTCCTTTCCGGTTTCTACTCAGAATCTTGCTGATCACTATGTTTAAGTTTTAACCAATTACATAGACATCATCAATATGTGGTATTTGTTACCACATTGCCAGCTATATTTTATTTCCAGACTCAGCCTTGCCTTACATAAAAAAACTTTGTTATACATTGGCTTTTTATATTTTTATTTTATTTTTGGTTAAGTTTTATTTTATTTTACTTTCTTATAGTTCGGGATTGATCTTGGACCAAATTCCCAACCTTTTTTCTTTTTGGAGACAGGATCTCATTAAGTTGCTAAGTTGTGTAGGTTGAGTTTCAATTTATAATCCTCCTGCCTCAGTCTCCCAGAATGCTGGGATTATAGATATGTGCTGCCATGCCCAGCATAAGTTGCACTTTTGAAAAAGCAAATGGCAGGTTGTTTTGTTGGTAGTGGGGTTCGAACTCAAAACCTTGTGTTTACCAGGAAAACTCTTGAGCCACTGAGCTAAATCCCTGGCCCTTGTGGGATCTAATTACTATGACCAATGGAGATATCATTTAATGGTTAATGACACATGAAAGTGAAACCTATGAAATAATTCAGAAAAATGTTAGGAAAATAAGCCAAGAGTTAGCTCTTCTGATAGGGCTGTGACTGTTTGGGACATTTGTTTTTATAAAGAAATTCACCTTGACTCAGTGGCCCAGTGCCTGCCTGCAAGTGTAAGGTCCTGAGTTCAATTCCTAGTACCAAAAAGAAAAAGAAATTCTTCTCCTTGATCTGTTTAAATGATATTTTCCCCCTCTTTTGTACATGCCATACCTGGATGACCATGTTTAACACAAATCACAATTATAAGCTTTATAGTGAATGTTACAATTCTCCTTTTAAGACATGAGTCTGTCTGTGATTTCTTTGCTACTTAATGTAGATTTTAAGTTGTTGACTGCATCCTTTCCTTGCAGTTGCTATAGGAATTTACTGTTTATAAGGTTATGCTTTTTTTCTGTGTGGAAGGACCAGCGAACAGACTGGGTGTCGGGGGTAACGAAATAATACCGTTTCCTGATTTACAAGCAGCTTGTTTCCAAGAGGAGCCCCTGAGCTTCTCATGGGCAGTTAAGGATGGATGTTATACTACGCAGTATGAATCGCTTCTTGCAAAATACAGAAGAATGCACAGCCAGCATAAAGCAGGATTAGTTCAGAGCTTAAAGATGTTTCCCAAATTCCTGAAAGATCTCATGCAAACAACTAGGAATGAGCAGACCTGGGTGGGGCCCTTTCAAAGTATTTGGTAGGTCTCATTTTTAAGCAGATTACTTTAAGCAGGAGTTCCTCAAACTTCTAAAACCCATGAGTCACTTATATGAAGAATAGTTTTAAAGAATTATTATGGCAAGAAGAATTATGGCAAGTTTGAAGAATTAAATGGCAACTTTGTATGGAACTAATTAACAATTTGTGAAAATTCTCATTAAGGAAAAACAGTCGAATAATAAGCAAATAACTATTAGGGTCAAAAGGTCAGAAACTTTAGGAATATTTAGTCAACATAATAACATTTATTTTTCTTTACTGTTGATATTTTCAACATTAGAGAAAACAATGTGGAACATTTTTCACCTATTATACGATGTATTGTTTTACTGCTACTGATTGGCTGTGAAAGTATAATTCTGGGCCAGGTGAAAAGAAAAGGAAATTGTGTATTCTTATACAAATTTAAAACATAAAAACAAACACTCCCCTAACACCGGATATAACCTTTCAACTCTGACTATAAAACATGTACTGAATTCAAACCAGTGGTTTTCTGTGGAACACAGTTTTAAAGCCCTGCTTTAAAATTGGCGGCTGTAGGTTGAACCTAGGAGGACATCTTGACTGAGATTCAGGGTTTGCCCTGCACAACTGTTTTTCTCTGTTCTGAGCTAGGGATGGTTTAAGAGTCACATTCTGAAACGCAGGTGTAACCTACCCAGCGTACAAAACTCTAACAGAAGAACAAAATAAAGTCTTGCTACAATCTTAGGAAATCTTGAGCCTGCCTGTTCTGATTTTGAAGGACAAATTTCTTATCACCCGAGTGAGATTAGCTTGAGCCATGCTGCTGCCTGGTCCTGTGACTCGTGCGTATGTAAACACTCATTTCTGGAGTTGGTCTGTTAGAAAGTGTAGCCAGAAGAGCTGAGACCTCACTCTGCCCCACCTCCTGAGAATGCCACTGACTTACTGTTCGAGGTGCCAAGGACAACGTGGGCTCTCCAGTCCTTGAGGAAATGTTTGTTTTTGTATTTGTGAGTTACGCAGTTTGTGGGGTGGAATGTCCTTGCTGAATTTCTTTCTGCTTTTTCTTCCATTTGTTTGTCTACAGTTACAAGAGCTGGCTGTGCCATCTCTTTATCATTTCTGCAGGGCTTATTGATTGAGTTGTATGATGAAGGGAGTTTGTTTTTCATCTAAGTAGGGAACAGTGAATGTAAGAAACATTCTAGACCCTGAGCCTTGTCTGCTGAGAGTTAGAACAGCTGTAGTTGCCTCTGAATGTTCTCAACGCTGTGAATGAGAC